TTATGTGTAAAATGCGGTCGCTTTATGGGATAGGACTGGCGAAATGTTTTGTTCCGTTCAGATTTGTGGTTACACGCGTTACGCAACATCCTGTGATCTGACTAGTTATCTGTGCCGTTAGGAAAAAACCAGTAGTCTCAGGTTATGCCTTTGTTTCTGATGAGTTTGTGAGAATTAGACTTCGGTCAAGAGAAGGAGCGGAAGGGTTTCATGTATGACACGGAAAATCCGAGGCATCGATCGACTGGCCAGAAGTCATCCTTAGAGGACCACACCATTCATCCACAAAAACAGAACTTCGTTTGCCCAGCCACGATATGCTTTCGAGTTCTACTCTGATAGAGCCATAATTAGGTCTGAGAAATTTTATCTCTTATATGTGTTCATTTGTCAAACCAGCTTCGGTGAGCCAGAATGATATGAAGGCATGATTGCTTTATCCATAAAGATTCATGACTAATATTTTAGTTTTGATTACAAGGTTATCATAATCTGAGGCTTTTGTCATTGCTGATGGTCTTGTGTCACTTTATTCATCAAATGTAATTGCATTGTGTGAACTCGCTGGATCGTTGACTCACTACTGCTTTTGTTCTTCTTTTTTTACAGCCTTCCAGAGTCACGCTACTCCGTATGCTTCATTAGTAAACAAAGTACTTACCGAATGGACGCAAAACTCCACACTTAACATGTATAATGACCCTACTGAATTGCTTTTAAGTAATCATCGAACAGTAATATCTAAAAACCAAGTCATTAAGACTACTTCAGACTGTCACCTAACAGTAAAAATGATTTGAACAAGCAAAAAATGCCTCTATCCTTCAAAATAAACAGTTACATAGACCTTTATAAATGTTATGAGACTTCCATGCATCATAAAAACTGTGTGTTATTGATCCAAATACTTATTGTACCGTATGGTATTAATGTTTAAATAGGTAGCGCGGGTTTCAGTGATACTTGTTTCTGGCGGCGTTTTGGACACCTCAGAGTGACTGACTCTAAGCTTTCTTCAGTTAACATATAGTTTCCGTTGTCAAATTGTCCTAAACTCATGCTTGATTTGCTGTTAATCGTTGTTTGCTGCTGCTGCCACTAAGAGTAAGTTCATTTTTTGTGGCTGATGCAACAAGCGACGGATCATCTTGTTCTCTTCCTGCTTTCCTGTCATACTCTACTTTGCATGCTCCCCTATTATCCAAAACGCCTCCAGAGTGGGCTCGAACCGCCACACAGGTTTTATGCCTAATAGCCCGAGCTGAAATACTCATTCAGTCTGTTTCATCTGTGTTCCCTCATTCCGTTCACATACGTCACGGCTGTCTTATTCACCACTCAGTCTTTTGTCTGTTTCTCCTTATCTACCAAATCAGATTATTTCGGGCGAATCTATAAATATTTTGGTCTTCATCAAAGTAAATAGAACTATAATTTTCCCTTGACCGTGGGAAGTTTTAGGGTTTTTGATCTCATTTCTCTAGAATTTTCTATATGGGTTTCCCTTGAAATTGGGTAAATTTTCCTCAGGATCTGAAGAATAAGAGAATCCCTGACCTGGGCTAATTCTATGAAATTTTTTTACTGCACCTTATTTAAAACTCAGCAGTGACCAAAGTCTAACAAAAAAGTTACCAAGACGTAACATCATATGGAGCTGTTGTAACATTTGTTTTTTCTAAAATAATCACCTGAAATGCAAGTTAACTAAACCCATTAGTGTTTCGTAGTGATATCTTCTGGAAAATCTTAAGACATATTTCCTTCGTCTAGGCAGTTGTGGGCTAACTTGAGTGCGGAAACGCATTTGCATATTTGGGGTTGTTGTGCTGCTTAAGAATCGTGATACTTCAGGGTGTAGCTAAGCAAGATAAAGCCTTGTGAAATACTAAAGAAAAGCTTTGCATAATCTAGTTATTTTTATGCAATATTTCAACCGTCTTCCATTCGGCAGCGAAAAACTAATTGTAAATCCAGAATCTGCTGACAACATAATCTGGAAAATTTTAAATGAATCAAGCCGTCGTGTACTTCCACCATCAGCATCTGTTGATTTTTCGGAAATTCCATCCGTCCCAAGCTCCAAGCCGTAAAACCAAATTGGTCAATTTGAGCAAGTTTGTAGACGACCCCACTAAAGGTTTCACGAAAATGCAACACGAAATCTCAAAATAGATCCAGTTTATACTTCTCCTTGCATGCATAGATTCTAGTGTATCTGATTCTCGTTCTACCGGAAGATATACAAGGAGAAAGATTCGGATGGTGTTGATGGTCAGTATCTGATAAAATAACACTTGCCAGTAGTTTGCAAGATTCCAAATGTCTATCTACAACCATTTAGTTACATCAAGGGATTCCTCATATACCTTAATAATTGCTTACAGCACTCTCTAATACTGCAAAAAATTTTCTCGAAAGCTCAGTAAAGAATAATGGATAGCATACATTATTTTACAAATTATATAGACATTTTGTGCACTATTGATCCTTATGGAATCTGACCTGTTGATTTCTCAGCCGGACGTCTACTGCGTCTTTCATCCGGTTCCGCAACACTATTGAAAACTTCCTGGTACTGATACTAATGTGATGCACTTGTAGTTCTCACATTTGCTCAAATCTCCTTTCTTTGCTACCTTAATGATGTGTTCTTCGTTCCAGTTCGTCGAAAGTTGTTCTTCCTCCCAAATTGTTGTGGATGGAACGTGGAGCATCATTACAATTACCCCTATATCTTGCCTCAGCTGGTATGTTGTCAGGTCCCTCTGTTTTCCCACTCGTGGTTTGTCTGATGGTCATCCTGATTTCTTCGACTATTCGTGGAGTGACGTCCATAGGAAGGTCTACGTGTGCTACTTCGATGTTTGGTTGGTTCAGTTTGGCTGGCCCATTCAAAGTGTTCTGCGCACCTGTTCGCTGTTCTTAAATCTCAGTAATTGACTTGCCTTGTATGTTCTTGACTATTCACTGTAGTTTACAATATTTCCGTGCTAGTTGCTTCGTTGTTTTTCATATTTTCTTTGTAAAAACTTTTTTCTACTGTCGCTGTTAGGCTTTCGGCTCTAATGTCCCTTTTCACTTTTTCGTTTACTTTTGTGTATTTGGCGTTGTCTTGGCTTTACTGCTCACGTTAAACCATTGTTAATTGCTATCTTATTCTTTCTTTCTTGAATCCTGCTCAGTGTTTGGATAGAGATACATTACTTATGATAATACTTTTTGCGACTCAGAACCTCCTGACAAGTTGAAGTTCTTTGGACAACAGTGCAACTCCCTGTGTGTGCGAAGCATTTTCTTCTTCACGACCATAGTAAAACAGCATCTCTTCTGAAGGCAATCCTTGGTGTCCACCTTCGATCCATTGGATTTAACTTATTACGAGAACCGTCAAATTGTATGTCCTCATTACCTCAGCTATTCGATTAGTCCTCCCAGTCGCCCAAATTTTCCGGACATTTCATGTACCTATATTAATTGTTGCTCTAGTTATCAGAGTTGTCAGTGTCGTGGTTTTCAAGGAATTTCGGCTTTCATCATGAGGCGTCATAATCCTTCTAAATGAAGATCTTTTAACTCACATGGCTTAAATTGTTTTTCTTCGGTCAGCGTTTTTAGAAAGGTTATTTTCTACGGGATGGGGTTGCTGACCACATGCCCAACCCTCTTTTATTCAGACGTGGGACAGGCAGTAACCCTAGAAGGGCTATTGGCGGATTTAAAACTATTCAACCGTCAGTAACAAATTGAAGATAATTCCAGAGAGTGGTTATTTAAGTAGTAAATTTTCTTTGGCCCACATATTAAGCTAAAATTGTGTGTTCATGTAGTTCTCCTTGAAGATATTTGGTTGAATTCCTCGAGTTATTATCCATAAGATTTTGGAACCAAGGAACACACTATATATATATATATATATATATATATATATATATATATATATATATATATATATATATATATATATATATATATATATATATGGACTTGCTAGTATATCAGTTCGCTAGGCTTGTTTTACACTGTATGTGCCATAACAATTTGTAGTGAGTGTGTAAAAATATGAGTAGGTTCAGTGACTCAATAATAATAGTATCTATGCTGATTATCACAACGCAAGAAGCTTTTGAACATTGCTTTCCGATTTCCATCGACTAGCATCAATTCAGTCCCTTTGTATAACGAGTGCCCAACTGTTCGGTGTGATTTTATTTGAGTGTTTTAGTTTTTCGTTGGGACTTAGTAACCAAGTAGAGTCACGTATTCAACTTTAAATAGCATTTTATTTAGTGGTTATTGTTGCTATCTGGGTGCTCGAACTAAGGATGTGGTAGGTCTGATCTCGAATCCAGCAGTTGAATTTCGATTGGCTTAAGCACTAAGTCTCCGCTTCACATGTATAGAGTCCACTAAAGTCCATCATTTACCATACTGATTAAACCATTAAAAATCTACTAAAATGTATCAGAAATAGTTAAATAGGCATGTGTCAGGATTTTTAGAGCTTATGTAAACAATTTATGGTTATCTCATTTCCACTAATTATTCATACATAAACAACGGAAATTCTGATATATATATATATATATATATATATATATATATATATATATATATATATATATATATATATATATGCATCATTTTTTAAGTTCCCATATTGTGTCTTCACATTGAATGCTAGAGTGTTAGAGGTAGTAACAGTATCAGTGGCAGTAAAAGAGGGTAAGCTTCAGACAGTACGATTCAAGGAAAGATAAATTTGTGGAATAAAAAATGTAAACGAATTCTAAAACTCAGGATGTAGGAGAAACAGTATCAGTTACAGTTTAACATTCCTCATGCACTACTTACTTTTCGTCAGCTTAGTGGTATAATTTGTTCTCGTAAATATGGTTCAGAGAATATCACTTTAACCTATATATATATATATAATCAATAAATTATTTTTGCTTGTTATTAATACAGGTCTCAAGCAGAAAACCAATTATCAAATTTAAATGACAGAAAAACGCTCCTCACGGATACGAAAAGTTCATAATTACGCTCTATTATGTGACAGTGATACAGAGTTCTTTGATGATGATGATGAACCCGTTAAATTCAAGAAGACTGGTGATAAAGAGGCCAAGTCGATAAGTAAACCTTCAAAGACTAAGATAACGAAAGATACGTCCGTGAAGCAATATGAAACAATTCAAACACAAAAGGAAAAGCCATCCAACATAATAATCGACAAAGCAAAACTGACCAGTTCTAATCCTTCGGCTTCTCACTGTGAAACTTCAGAACCTATAGCAATTTCTAGCCACAAAGCTTTGTCAAAATCCTCTCCTTCTACCATTGTTTATTCCAACTCATTAGTCAATAATGTAACTACACCACCTTCAAATAAAGCCTTTTTTCCTGTCACGCCGTCTAGTGGCCTTCGTCTTGGTTTATCGCGTACAAAACGGTTAAGACCTTTACATGCAAATGTGCGTATAGCATAATTTATGATATTTCTTAGACGTAAAAAGGAATTTTTAAAACCTAATTTTGTTTTAATGTGCAATTCTCTTATGATAACTACTGCTTTATGGATTCTGATAACTGAATGTTCAGTTACTTCTTTGACTGTCAACATCAGTTGTTTTTAATTCGTTCATATCTGTCTTTTTACTCAGAATTTGACGTTTATCGCACTATATATTTTAAATCAATCTCTCATATTATTTGAGAATAATTATTAAATCATAGAAGAAAATCAAATCGCGATTGCATTTTAACTAGCTTCCATGTTACAGCCCCGATGTTTTATCACCTTAGATACGTCACTTGCATGGTAACTGGATCTTATTGTCAATAATAGTAATGGTAATAGTAATACTAATAGACTACAGTATTCAATTTGAATGAAATATTTATGTTTGGTTGCATCAACATCGTATTACTATATTAGGTTCAACTCATGAACTATCATCCGATATAGAATTGGTAATTTGTTAATATAAAGGCTGGAAACATTTTAAAGGAGAAGATCCGATTAAATGTAAAAAGTCACGATAAAATGAGTATGAACAAGTTTAGCAGCTATTCACCTGGAAGAAGTAGATTTTGGAGGCGGTTGTTATGATGGATGAATTTCAGATTTGGAAAGATGTTTAGAGATCGTTAAAAGAATAGACGTAATACTGATGAATAATTAAAATCCAAGGGTACGACATAGATGGTCACGTGGTTGGATTGAATAAGCCCATAACAAACTAATATTGAGAGGCAGCCATCCCATAGATTAAATATTTGCCCCGTAAAGTAACTTATTCACATACAAAACAAACTACCAGTGCATGTGTTTAGAAGTAGATTAATACACTAGTGATTAGAAATGAATTCCGTGGAGGATTCAAGTACTGATTAAACCAGTTGTCAGGCTTAATTCGTGCCCGACACAGGCAGACCCAGAGGGTTTTAATAAGCTGATTTTTTGTTGTTTACTGAGTCAGTCCTGAAATTATATCATGCTAATATGATAAGTATTTTCTGATGTGGTACTCACGTAGAAAGTTCATATACTGGACTTCGCAACACAGGACACCGGTGATATCTAATATATTCTAAGAGTGGTATTTGCTTTCATGTATTCATTTTTCCAATCTTTTTGTATCGGAAAATTTATTTAGGAAAGTTTGCAAGATTGTATATAAATTTTTGTTCAAATGTAAACGAATGAATACATTGAAAAAATTATGCTTGTAAAATTTACAGTTACTGGAATTAAAAATAACTCGGACCTTTGTTTGTCAGTCTGGTCCGAGCTTCCTCGAAGAAACGATTGTGCGTTAAACAATTGTCCACTTATGTTCATTTATTAAATATAGAATTATTAAATTGTAAATATGAATCATTTTCTGCTCAACACTCTGACATTCAAGTTATTGCCAGAATAGTTTGGTTACAAAGAGATCAAGTAAACGAAAAAAATGCGAACAGATAGAAATACCAAATTTCAAATAATTTTTCATCTCGACAACACAAATATCTGTGTAAATGTTTAATAATAATAGTAAAAGATATTATTCAGGTGGTGATGTGTCAGATAGTAATACAAATACAAGTGTATCGGAAAAAATTTGTGAAAACTTGGGGAAATAATTAGTGTAAGAGTTAAGATTTCGCGCGTGGGACTGAATCCTGGTTTCGATCTCTGGTTAAGGCGTCATCTATACACACTGTTGAAAACTCCTGTACTAAGAACACTTAAGTGAACGAAAATTTAAAAACGTGAATTTGGACCAGACCAGCCCGGTCAAGAGAAAAACTAAAGGTAACAAGGGGTTCCGTCCTCTCTCGTTTCGTTGGCATAGGACGTCAAGTTAATTAAAGCAAAACTTTTGATACACTTGAATTTATCTTACGCATCAGCACCTGACTAGTATCCTTTATTATTCTTATTATTAAACATGTACACATATATATTTGTGTATTCATGTTGTTAAAAACTAACTGAAATTAAATATTTCGATCTATTCACGTTTTTGCTTAGTGTCTGAGTGGGAGTTTTCACATTAAATGGAGAAAATGAGATCTGATTCCTTTCAAACTAACGTAAAATTATAAAATTTAGGTCTAAAAGTTTGTTTCATCTACACTGACTACATCTATCAGTTACATTGTCTCATTTCCACAATCCACGATAATACTTATTATCTTACAATAAAAATAATGATAACAGATATAACTATGATAAACTGATAATAAGACACTTCTATACATGAACAAATTTTAATTTCAGTATTGTTAGTATATTTGACTTATAAGTAAAATGAGTTGATAATTTCAACTTCTATCATTTACAACAAAAAAAACAATGTTAAAGTAAAAGGAACTAATTTATGATTGTATATTATATTACTTAATGCCATTTATTTCCCTTATTCTAATAAGTAAAGCTATTTAACTATAATATATTTTTAATTCATGTAAAATAACTGTGGAGAGGCGTAATATATACTTGAAACATAAACTGTTATATTTCAGTCATATCATGACTTAATATAAACCCTTGTGTAAAATGATACGAATCGGAAGAATTATGTGATACACCATTTAATCTTAGCTGCTGTATTGTGTGTAATAATCAATTATTGATCGTGACACTTCATCTATATACATTTCTAGTATATATGTGCTTATGTATTACCATTTGTCCATGTCTTTTTGAATCAGATAAGCTGACACAAAATTAAATAAAATATTTGATACAAGCCATTTTCATACCTTTATGTGGTTGTTTGCTGTTCCATGAAAGCATAAAATGTGAGTTTCTAGGTCCATTTCGTATTCAACCCTTAAATATCAAAATTATAGAGTATGGTTAGCCGAAGTATCGTATGTGAAATTAGATATGAAATATCATTAATTACCATCAGATTCAGTAAGATTATCGGTTACAGACTGATGAACCTTTTTATACGACTAATCCACTCATCATCGCAGTCAGTTTTCTATAAATGTTTGAGGGAACGATATTATGTTTTCAGTCAGCTTGTATATAATATTCAGATGGTTTTTTGGCTAAGATTACATTATTTCTTAATTGAATCAGTATTTGAATTAAGTTTCATTCCATATTCTTACGTTCATCAACTAGAAAATCTATTAAAACAGTTATGGGATGTTTACTATAGGTGTTACGTAACGGCACGATTAGTAGTTCTTGAGCGTACGTATGTCCAACCTTTAACTATACACAATAAAAATATACCCATAGCATTAAAAATCAGTGTTAAGACATTTCAAGTGTGTGATAGTGTTTCATCTCTGATATGATGATGTATCAAAGAAAGCAGTATTATTATTGAACTGACAAAAAATCATTCATTTGCAAACACACTGTTTCAATCATGAAATTCTTGATGTCACCAGTTCGTTTATATTCCTCATGATAGTGTTCTATACTTCAGGGCAGTCAAAGAGTGAAATTCTTGATGACCGTACATCGCTTGCAATATTTTGGGACTGAGTGAGAGACAGACTGTCTTGTGGTGCTTAAGATCGTGTGCAGTAAGAAATCTCAATGAGCATCCACATCAAGTTGAGGGTTGACTTTACGGTTCACCTGCTTCAGATTGATTTGTAAAGCTGACATATCCAACTGTTTGTAATTTAAAGGCCTATTGATAGTAGCATGTTTTAGCTCAATTTCACTGATAAAAGTGAAGGCCTTGACGTCATAATCATTTTAACTCTGAGGAGCCAGTATTGTAATGTTGTCACTTTAGTAACCTTTCTTCGTAAAAATGCACTCTAAGCATGACGGCTTCTGACCATTTCTCCGAAGAGTTGCTTACTCTACATATTCGAATAGTCTCATATATTCAATAAGATTTAAAGACCGAACATCAATAGAACTGCCAACTTCAATGTACATGTGTCCAGCGAAATCGACTATAAAAAGATTGAAGTCTCCGCGAATTAGGACATGATTGTATCCAATACGAATAGAGCGAGACAATCTTTCCAGCATGCGATTGCCTTATGCGGTGTCAGCTGTGGGCTTCTTGTGTATGACTCCAAATGAACACCTTGGGGTGTTAGATAACCTTACTGAGCACCGTACAGATTTATCAAAATTGGTTAAATCTTGGGTATACGCTTGATGTACTGCCAAGCAAGATCGTTGTTGCTTAATAAAAACATTCCGAGTGTTTCAAGCTCCTGGTCCGTAATTAGAGGAGTTGCCCATGTTTCGGACATTTCTAGTACATGATTATTTTGTTCTAAGTTTATCCGTATACTATAACCTCTAGAGAAAAAGAACTATCAAGTCCTCTATAATTCTAGACGATCCCACAAATGGTATGTGGTAATTATTAATTGAGATTAATATGCTAAGTGATGATCTATAATGTTTTGGATTATTTGAATTATAACACGAACTAGGAGTCCCAGAATTAACGCAATTGAATTAAGAAGTAAGACACAAGCACAAGCGAATGTATTGTATTTGGAATTTTAAATCGAGCATTCAACAAGTACAAAGGTATTATTAGTTCGTTCAAACACTACATCCGCCATCATGATTACGTTCATTTAACATATTTTCCTCAGAATTGCAAGTAATTTCATTAGAAATATGTGAATCATTAGGAAAAGTTATACCTGGTACAATAGCATGAGAATTCTGATAAATCGGTTGATTAGGAACTGTTGTTTCACAAGAATTCTGGATTTCATTTAACTCTGAACTGCCATATGACTCTGCACTGTCTTTTGAAATCGTTGATAAAGATAAATGATCGTCATGAATACTCGACTCAGTAGAATCAGAATTACAAGACTTAATATTAGTTGCAGTAAGATGAACAGTAGTATTACAGACTGACTGAACTTGTCCAATATCACGACATTTGAAGCAATTAGAATTACGAAATTGACATGAATTAGAAGAGTGGAACATGCAACAGGACAAACACTGACCAAACTTGTCCCCATCCTCGTGAACTGCATC